CCCCGAGTCCGTGCACAGCGCCTCCGAACCCAGCCAGGATCTCCACCATGCCAGTCTTTTGGAGTCCCAGAGCCCACTGAGCCTCACAGGGCTGCCCATGGGGGAGAGGGTGCTCTGGGGCTGGGGGCTGCTCCATGCCATGAGGATTGAGTCCTCTTCCAAACCTTGCCAGCACTCCATGGGACATCCAAGTTGGGGAACACACCTCTGCTCTGCTTCAGCCGCCGCATGGCCACCTTCAGGTGCTTGGTCCTGCCCAGGTCCTCCCCAAGGAGATAGTACCAGCCACCGATCTCCTGGGGAGAGGAAAGAAGCTGTTGATGAAAGGGCAGATACTCACCCCTATTCTTTTCTCAGCCTGGAGAAGAGAAGGCTCATTAAGGGGAGACCTTATAAGTCTTCCAATACCTAACGGGCTACAAGAAACCAAGAGAGGGGCTTTGGACAAGAGCTTGTAGGGACAGGACAAGGAGAATGGCTTTAACCTGCCAGAGGGGAGATTGAGATGAGCTCTGAGGCAGAAGCTCTTCCCTGGGAGGGTGCTGAGGTGCTGGCACAGGGTGCCCCGAGAAGCTGTGGCTGCCCCATCCCTGGCAGTGTTCAAGGCCAGGTTGGACACAGGGGCTTGGAGCAACCCGCTCTAGTGGAAGGTGTCCCGGGGTTGGAGCTGGAGGAGCTTTAAGGTCCCTTCCAACGCAAACCAGGATGGGATTCTATGATGATTCTATGAAACTGAGGAAAGGGGAGGTATTCAGCAGCATCATGCAGCACCCAGGAGTCAGGCCCAGCTCATCTCAGCCCCTGCTAAGGTCCCAGAAGGACCACATGCCCCAGCATCCTCCTTCCATCCCTGTGAGAGCAGGGTGCTGTGCATGGGTGCTATACACATGAACACTCTGTCCTCTGCACACAGTGACAATTCATGAAACTCGTTGCCAAAATCTGAGGTGGAAAGGACATCTCTGGGGAGGCCACACATGAGCACAGGAGAGCCACAGTTCATAGTCTTATTATCTTCACTGTTAGAAGAAAGCTGCATCTCACTAGTCCAACATTCAGAGGAGGCCATGCTATAGCTGCCTCTTACTCCCTTCTCAGGTCATTGCCACAAATTGCTTCTTTTTAACCTCTTGCTAGGGAGAGAATTTCCACACCCCAGGTGAGGTATTAACACTTTGCACGAAACACTTCCAGCATGCCAAGACACTCTGATGTACAGAGGATGTGACCAGGGATGAAATCTCTGCCCAGTGGCAGCCAGGATGAAACATTTCCATGTTCGAGTGGATCAGCAGAGTCATTCCCAGCAGCAGCCCTGCAGGGTTCTCCACGAAAGCAAACCCAGCTGATGTGAAAGCTGTATTACCAAGCAGCAGCCAGGCTGGGGCAGCAGCACTGTGACCAAACACGCAGCAGTGGGGACATCGATGGAGACAGCCTGACAGCACCACTGCCTCCAGGAACAGCCCAAGACCTCTGCATCTGCCCTCTGTCCACCACCACCAGCTCCACTAGTGAAGCCTTGGCTGCTGAGCACAGGAAATCAGGCAGGTTCCTTCTCAGAGGCGCATGTCCCCACCATTGCACCCGCTTGGCCACTGCTCAGGACATGTCAGATGTGACACATGCCAGACTGAGAGAGGCTGATCCCATCTCCTGTCCCCACAGCAGGCAGCACTCACTGGGGCCACCTCTTTGCATCCCAAATTGCTACTGCTCTGTGTGCCCCTACAGATGGAAGTGACAGTCCCCTGTCCTAGGACCCCTCCTCTCACAGAGCCTCCCTGCCCCTGCCTCCTGCAATCACACCAACATCAGTCTCAGTGGCACAACCTGGGAATGGGACCAGGGAACTCCATGGGCACCCTTTTGTCCAAGGTAGGAGCAGCCTCCTCCTGCCCCAGGGATGCACCACATCCACCCACTGACCCAATACAGTCAGACCCCAGACCCACACGCTGCACTCTGGCACAGGGGTACCTTGTCCATGGTCAGAAGGGACTTCACACCAAAGCTCATGCATCCGATGAGTTCGCTCTGTCTGCAGGAGAGGCACAGACCATCAGCACACACTTGAGAACTCCCCAGGCTCCAGCTCCCCACGTGCATCCCTCCGCATGGAGCCCACAGACATCCCAAACTGCCCATGCTGGGAGCCAGGCGGTGCCCAGGATGTGCCTCCCTGTCCATGCTGTGAGCAAGCACGGTGTAACCACATGGCTGAGCTGCAGCAGGAGCTGGGCTCAACATCCTGGTCCCCTGCAGCCTAACCAGTGCTGGCAGGAGTTTGGCCAGGGAGGCAGATAGCCTGCAAGGTGCCAGACCCTTTGCTGCTGGGCTCTCCTCCTCGCTGCATTGCCCTCAGGGGTAGGGAAGGTCCCCAGCACACAGCCAAGCTCCAGCCCCACTTGGCTTTAGCCAGCAGTGCAGGCACGAGTGCCTGCAGAAGTTCTGAACACTGGCGCAGCTGATGGCTACCAGGCAGCAGCAAAGCCACCAGAGCACAGCAAGGGCAGGTTTCCCCTCCACCAGACTGCAGGTGGCGCGGTGCCCACCAGTACAGGCTGCCGGACTGTCCCCCCAGCAGGTCCCAGCCCCACTGCTCATGCCTCTGCCCCACCAACCCACAGCCTTCGTGCAGGGCAGCCCTGACATCAGGGCCAGACCCCAAGGAGCTCACGTGGGGCGGGCAGAGCAGTGGCAGGTTCACTGCCGTGCCAGCCCCATTTGAAAGAGGTTGCCTGGCAGGTTGGCAGCCCCTTACCTGGAGTTTCTCTCTCTGTTCCAGACTGTGACAAGGAGACGTTTCTGCTCATCCACCTCTTGCACTGGGCTGTAACAAGCAAAGGGAACAGCCCATGAGCACCTTTCTTCA